TTAGCTTTGTACAAGCCCAGTGAGTAATTGTTGGATAAATTAATCCAATATGCATTCATTCATCAAACCTTTATTGGGAACCCACCATGTTCAAGGAGATAGCTAGATGGTTCAGTGGATAGAGCAGTAGGCCTGGAGTCAGGAAGTCCTGAGTTCAGATGTGACCTCATCAAAATTCTCTACCTGTGTGACCCTGGGCAAGTCACTTAACCTTGTTTGCCTTACTCCACTAGAAAAGGAAATGGCAAACCACTCTAGTACCTTTGCCAAGAAAACCCCATGGACAGTATGATTCACAAAGGGGTCACAAAGACTTGGACACTACTAAACAAAAAAACATATTCAAAGCATTATTCTTGGTGCCAGGAACACAAAAATGAAAACACCAATCTCTGCCATCAGAGGGCCCAAGGGGGACCAGGGTGGTTTGGGCTAGAATTGCTCCAAATTGTGCCACAGCTTACCTGCCTATCCACCCATGTGCCCCAGAAACCCATCTTAATCACACTCTCCTCAGTAACACACAGAAGGAAAAGGAGCGAGGACTGTAAGAAGGAGAGAAGAAAAATAATTATTCCCTTAAACTAATGTTTTAAGAAGACTACATGTGGAATTTCCTTCCATGAAATTGTAAATTACTTGAGTGCAGGAACTGTGTCCCAGCACTGGGAAAGGGAGTTTCTTCATCTAGAAAATCCCTATACCATTGAAGACATAGGTTAGGTCCCAGTCCCCATTTCCCTAGCCTGCTGCCTTGCACTTAGTAGGCACTTTCTGAATGTTGTTGAACTAAATCCATTGCTGCTGAATGGATTAGAGGAGTGGGGAGAGCCGGGAGGCAGAGAAACCAGTTAGAAGATTGTTTCTGTCTTCTGCACTTGAAATAGTGGTGTGGTACCACCTCACTGGTAGCCTTGAGAATAGTTTGGCACATTTTATACTGTTGTAGGTAGGAAAGCCAAGAGTCTAATTCAAAGAACATTTTTCAATTTAATTCAACTCAATTGGCATTTATTGAGTACTTACTGTTTGCCTGGCACCGTGCTAGAAACTGGGACTACAAAGGCAGAAATAAAAGTCCCTGACCTTACGGAGCTTTCCTTCCACTGCGGTTACAGTGAGTGATCCATCCTGAACGCCATTATGACCTCTGACCAGTCAAACCAGTCTGTTTTCGACATGACGTTCAGATGCAAGTGAAGCCCAAGCTGGTGATGTAATGCTCTGCCCTTTCTTCGCTGTCAGCCATCTTTCTACCACACTCACTGATGGAGTGTGTCCAGCAAGCGTGTTGGAAATGTAGGACTTAGATGCAAGCTGAAGGTAGAGGTTTGAGGATCACTCACATAGAAGTGATAGGTTAAGCCCACATGCCTCAGTGATAGCACAAATGGTGGGACTAGAAAAAGAGTAACTATTCACAGATGAGCATTTAGCATTTAGCAGGAGGCAGAGGAGCTGGTGGAGTCAGGAGGGACAGTCAAAAGGCAGAGGAACCAGAGGAGCTCTTGGTGGGTCTTTGTATTCTCAGTGCCAACCATGGTGCCTTGCATCTAGTAGGAGCTTAACAAATGCTTGTTGAATTGTGGGATTGACATGAAAATGAATTGTTATAAAAACCAAGAGAGTTTTAAAGACTGAATGGTAAAGTGTCCCATGCTGTAGAAATCAAGAAGCAGTCATTGGATTTGAGGACTTAAAAGGTCACTGGTTGCCTTTGAAAGAATAATTTCAGTAGGATGATGAGGACTTAGTGGATGGGTATCTTCCTTTGGATACCCCACTGGCACTGTAAACTGAGATTAATTCATCATCCTCCCCTAAAATCTGCTCTCTCCTCCTGACTGCCTTATTCCTGTTAATGCACCATCATCTCCCCACCATTACCTCTTAATCTTCCAAACTGAAAGTCTTGGAAGCAGCTATAACTCCCTTCTTTTCCTCAGCCCCATACCGTGTATTGCCAGGTCCTCTCAATTCTACCTCTGCATCCCCACCACCTCACTCTACTTGAACTAGAGTTCAAGCCCTCACCAAGGAGGCGGTAGAGCAGAATGCTGAATTTAGAGCCAGACCACCTGCATTTGAGCAAATCACTTCATAAATCTCTGGGTCTCAGTTTCCCCATCTGTGAAAATGAAGAGGCTAGACTAGGTTGTTTCTGAAGTCCCTTTCATCTCCTACTCTGGTCCTATGCTTAGCACTTGCCTGAATTATTACTTAAAGCAGCCTCCTAACTACTTACCTTGCCTTAATCTCTCCACCTTCCAGTCCATCCCACTTAATGCTACTGGTCATCTTCCTTATTCCTAGCTGCCAGAGGCCAGGAGGCACTCCTTTAAAAAAAAAAAAAAAAACCAACTCTTTTTTAACTGGTGCGGCTTTTTTGTTTTTTTACTACCCACTCCCACCCTCTACCCCAGATGCTAGCATTATAGCTGGGCATATCATAGGTATGGAACAGACATTTATTTCACAGATTCCCAGAACTAGCCTTAGAGATCATCTAGTGACTAGATTCCTTTCCAACCCCCTCATTTTACAGATGAGGAAACTGAGATCCGGAAAAGTGAAATGAATTGCCCCAGGTCATATGGTGAGTAATTGAGAGCTAGGACTCAATCCCAGGCCTCCTCAGTCCAGGTTCAATGTGGTTTCCATTATATCACACTTCCCGTTGGACAGAGACAGTTCTCTGCAAGAGACTGAATGAAGCTGGCAGTGTCTGTCTTCAGCGCCTCCAGTGTGTCCTCTCCCCCAACTGTCATCCTTGAAAAGCAACAGGTTATAGCAGATAGAGTGATGTGAATGCAACTGAATCAAAGTGAATGTGGGACCCCGCCAAGAGGGACATTTTATTTTATAAAGGAACAAAGTCTTAAGCCAAAGAAATGAAATTTTTATGGTGGAATTTCAGGCACCAGCAGACAGTGAAGGAGTTATTTGAGGGCAGCTGCCTTCTCCACGCACATCTGAGGCTAGTCCTGTTTATTGATCATCCACAGTTTTGTTATATGGACCCCTGTGCCTCTGTGCTTGAGAGGAAGTGGAGCCTAGTGGATAGAAGGCTAAGCTTATAGAGTCAGAAGATTCTCGGATTCAGGTCCTGCATCAAGCACCAGCTGTATAACCACAGGCCGGTTAGTCCACTTTGCTCCTGAGCCTCACTTCCTCATCAGTAAAATGGGGATAATAATACCTGAAGGGCCTTCCCCCACAGAGTCTTGTAAGGCTCAAATGTAGTATTCATAGAGCGCTATCTCCACATCAGGTACTATTCTTGTTATGCTAGGAGCGGTCACCCAGCTCATCACACTCCTCACCCACCTCACCCCAGATACACCTCAATTATCAGTATTATTATTAATAATTAATATATTGCATATATTATGATGATTATATTAATAATTAGTAATAATGAGCTCATTAGAAAGGGTGCAGCCCTGTGCACTGAAATCTGATTTTCCTCTTGAACATCTCTGCTCACTTCCTGTACGCTGCTGGTGACAAGGAGCACAAGCCTGAGGCCACTCTGACACTTTGGCTGTGAGATGAAAATCCCACTCCACTCAACAGCTTCTCTACATGTGCTACATGTCTTTGCTAGTTTGGAAATTGGTGGTAAACAGATGTGTTTGCTGGCAGGGGGTGACCGTGAATGAATGGGGTCTGGGTCCTTTTATGTCCCAGCAGAAACGAGGTGCTGAGAGATTATCTTTGTGTGCAGACTGGGTTGGATCCAGAGCTGTTGTCCATGTGGGTCCCCAAAGGGTAGCTCCTTTCCATTTGAGAGAGAGCATTGTGTGCTTGAAAAGGTTTGGACTTGGGGGCTTGAGTTCAAAAGACCAGCTCTTACCACCTGTGTGACCTTGGATATGTCAGAACAGCTTCCAAGTAATTAAGAAAACACTTTTCCCCCTGCCCACCCCCACACTCATTCTCTTCCTCCCCTCCCCATCCCAAAGAAAAATGGTCTTTGAGGTTGTCTTTTAACATCTTCTTCTCCCTTCTCTAGGTACCCAGTGTCCTTATGCTGGCTGAGAGGGTCCCTCTGTTAGAGAGGATTGGCGTATGATTAACTCATTCATTCTAAGATGTCTTTGTTACCTCTGGGGAAAGGGGGAAGGGTTTACTCTGAAAGAGTATGGGAAGAGGCAAGCCAAGGAATTGATTAATGGTACACATATATAATCTCTGCTTCTCAGGGAGGCTGAGGCTGGTGGAGCACCTGAGTTTTAGAAGTTCTAAACTGCAGTAGGGTTAAAACCGATCAGGTGTCTGAACTAAGTCCAATATGGTGAGCTCCCAGGATCTACCAGGCTATCTAAGGAGAAGCAAACTGGCCCAAGTCAGAAAAACAGAGCAAGTTAAAGCTTCCGTGCTGATCGGTATTGGGATTGGGCCATGAGTGGACCCTACATTTTCAGTCTGGCCAAGTTAAGGAGATCCCCCCCCCACCCAAAAAAAAAGTCCTCAATGGTAGAATTCAGGCACTGGTAGTGGGGAAGATTCTTTGGGGTGATTAAAGAGCTTTCCAATACCAGGCAAATCAGACTGAATAGACAGCTGTCCAGTCTGCCTATATTTGAGGGCCAGCCCTATGTATGTTTAAGTCTAAGCTTGGTGATTAAGCTCTGGTGAATTGATATGTTTCTCTCTTTTGATGAGAACTCCTTCTAATTGTGCATATAGTAGGATTTGAAGTTGAATGATCATCATCTTTGCTCTCATATTTATGTAACATTTTAAATTTGACTATCAGCATTTCCTAGGCGGGGGTAGGGGGCGGAGAGGAGAACTGAGTCTTCAAAAGTGCAGTGATTTGTTCATGGTCACACAGCCACAAGCATGGATGTTCTTTAGATCAGGCCAGTTCAGCTCATACCTACCTTCTAACCTTTAAATACCACAAATGCCTACTCCTAGTTGCTGGGATGCCTTTGTCTCTCTGGGTCCTGAGGAGCCCTGATGGAAGATGCCTGTCTTTTGTGTCTCTTTAGAGTTTGCCTTCTGCTTGGTGGATGCCTCAGTGGCCCTAGACTTGGCTGTGGCCTTGTTGTGTGAGCTGCTCCCTCAGTGGGACCCTCTGACTGCAGGACTCCCGACCCTCCTGGGATGGCTCCTGGGGGAAGACGATGTTAGGAAGTGTACGGAGAACACACCTCAGGTAACGTGGGGCCATCTGAAATCTTGGTAATGGAAACACGGGGACTGGGAGCTTCCCCAGTGCCAGCTCACGCCATCAAAGTCGAGGGACCATTGGCAGGGTCTTTTGATACTGTATTATTGGAATATTTCATAATAAACTAAGGGATCAATTAGGAAATTAGCTTCAGTTTGGTTTTTTTTGTTTTTTTTTTTTAGTCTCGTCAGCCTTCTTGTACTTGGGGCTTCAAGCCCTTACAAAGAAGCCCTCTAGCGTGCTAGCTGAATTAGAGAGAACTCTTTATTACTGGTGGGTTGGAGTTGTTGTTCAGTCGCGTCTGCCTCTTCATGGCCCCATTTAGGATTTTCTTGGCAAAGATACTGGAGTGGTTTGCCATTTCCTTCTCCAACTCATTTTACAGAGGAGGAAAGTGAGGCAAACAGAGTTAAGTCCCTTGCCCAGGGTCACACAGGTAGGAAGTGTCTGAGATCAGATTTGAACTCGGGTCTTCCTGACTCCAGGCCTGGTTCTCTGTCCACTGTATTAATTTCCTACCTGCTTAATTACTGTAGGTTACACTTGTCCTGAGATCCCTGCCAGACTCAGCCTCATCTTCTTCATCCCTATAATAAGAGGGTTGAACTTGATAGCTGCTGAAGTCCCTTCCAGCTGTCAATCAATGGTCCTGTGACGTTAAGGACCCTAGCCACCTAACAGTAGCCATTTCTAGGGTGAGGAAAGGAGGGGAGGGAAGAAAAAGAGGGCAAAAAAAAGAAATTTACACCATAACTTTATTACATCTTTAAAAGGAATATCCAGTTGTACATAATAGATTTGCAGTTTTAAGTGCAATTATCTTTTAAAAAATTATGCTTTGTTATGGAAATGCCTGTTTTATTCCATAAATTAAAAATAAAATAAATAAATAATTTTTAAAAAATGATCCTATGATGTTGGGGATCCCAGCCACCTAATGATAGGCATCTCTAGGGGGAGAGGGGGAGAAGGGAAGGAGAAAAAGAAATTATGATAACTTTATTATATATTTAAAAGGAATAGCAAGTTATACATAATAGATTTACAGTTTCATGGGCAATCATCTTTTTTTTTAAATTACACTATGTTATGGAAATGCTTGTTTCATTCCATAAATTAAAAATAAAATAAAATTTTTGAAATGTCTTTAACGACCCTATGACGAGGAAGCATTTCAGAATGATCCGTGTTTGCAAGTTTCTTCCAAACCACCTTAGCTTATAGATTCACTGATTGAGAGCTGGAAGGGCTCTTCTTATCTGGCCCCCTTCATTTCACAGATAAGAAAACTGAGGTTCAAAAGGGTTCGGTGACTTGCCCAAGGTCACACAGGTGGTAAGGGGCAGAGTTGGGATTTAAACTCGGTTTCCCCTAATCCCACAGCCCCTGCTCTTCCCTTGTGTCTGATTTGCTGCATCAGTAACTTGTACTGGTCCCCATCTGGGATCAGCAAATGGCCAGTGTATTCCCTCAGTAGGTAGGAAACCAAAGACACAGAGAAGCGAGTCATGGTCAACCAAAGAAATGAGAGCTGGGATCAGAATTCACCACAACTGAGCCCCTGTGGCCCCCCAGAAGTGCCTGTGACAACAAGAAGGTCCCAACAGTGTCCTGAATTGTAACATACCTGGAACAGGATAGTGTGATGAAAGAACCCTACGAGGTCACAGTATTGTGGGAATTTGGTTCCCAACAACAGAGACACTTGTGTCTCATCTTTGATACTGCTTTTGCTGTTTGAGTCATTGCTAAGACTGTCCCCTCCTTTCTCCTTCTGTCCCTATTGTAAAAATGTTCCAGGCTGACGCCCACTTGAATGCTAAAGTCCATCTGTAATGTAATCATCATATTTAATCATTTAGAAAGCAATGATCATTAGCATTTATAGACTACTTTAAAGTTTGCACAGCTCTTTATAAATATTATCTCATTTGATCCTCACAGCCAGCAAACAGAGGTTAAGTGATTGGCCCAGGGTCACACAGTGTCTGTGGTCACATTCAACCTCAGGTCTTCTGACTCCAAGTCCAGTCTTCCTGACTCCATCTACTTTGCCATCTACCCAACCTAGCTGCTCTAATAGAGCCATACAGCAATAGGCCTCTATAATAGACTTTTTTTTTAACTGAAGGTCATTTTAACTTTGAAAGAAACAAAAAACTTCCCCCCAATGCAAAAGAATTTTCTCTTTCTTAAGTAACCTTTCTTAAGTCACCTTCAAGGTTGGAAGTAATGTGTGTACCTCTTCAAAGACAAGCTAGGAATAGGCACTCTGTGAGGGGAGGGGCCAGTTGGTTGTCAGAGGAGGAAGGAGTTGGAAAAAATGATTCAAAGAGGGTGAATTAGGTGAATCTCAGCAATAATAATAAAAGCTCATTTCTGAAGTACTAGAAGATTCACAAGGCATTTTCCTCCCATGGGTAGTAATAATTCTATTACTACTGTTCTAGAAAAACAGTAGAGAATCAGTGACATTTGAAAGACCCTAAAGAATAAGAAAAATACCCCAAGATTGGAGAAGGACAAAAGTCTCAGTTTTCAAAAGAGGGAAGAGAGTATAAACTATAGGCCAGTGAGCTTAATTTGGATTCTAGAGAAAATCACTGGGTTGTTTTTTTTTTTTAATAGCATTTTATTTTTTCCAATGACATGTAAAGACAATTCTTAACATTCATTTTTTATAAAATTTTGAGTTCCAGCTTTTCTCCCTCCCTTCTTTCTCTCCCTCCTCCCTAAGACAGTAAGCAATTTGATAAAGGTTATCAATGTGCCATCATGTAAAACATATTTCCATATTAGTCATGTTGTGACAGAAGAAACAGAACAAAAGGGGAAAAAAAACATGAAAAAACTAAAGAAAGTGAAAATAGTATTCTTCGATCTACATTCAGGCTCCATCAGTTCTTTCTCTGGATGTGGATAGCATTTCCCCTCAAGAGTCTTTTGGAATTGTCTTGGATCATTGTATTGCTGAGAAGAGCTAAGTCAATCATAGTTGATCATTGAATAATGTTACTATTACTGTGTACAATGTTCTCCTGGTTCTGCTCAGTTCACTTTACATCAGTTTACGTAAGTCTTTCCAGGTTTCTCTGAGATCTGCCTGCTCATCATTTCTTATAACACAATAGTATTCCATTACATTCATATAACACAACTTGTTCAGCCATCCCCCAGTTGATGGGCATCCCCTCAGTTTCCAGTTCTTTGCCAACACAAAAAGAGCTGCTATAAATATTTTTTAATATGTGGGTCCTTTCCCCTTTTTTATGATCTCTTTGGGATACAGACCTAGTAGTGGTATTGCTAGATCAAAGAGTTTTATAGCCCTTTGGCCATAGTTCCAAATTGCTTTCCACAATGTTTGGATTAGTTCACAACTCCACCAGGAGTGCATTAGTGTCCCAATTTTTCCATATCCCCTCCAACATTTATCATTTTCCTCTTCTGTCATATTAGCTAATCTGATAGGTATGGGGTGATATGTCAGAGTTGATTTATTTTGCATTTCTCTAATCAATAGTGATTTAGAGCATTTTTTTCATAAAGATAGCTTTGATTTCTTCATCTGAAAACTGCCTATTCATATCCTTTTACTTGTATTCATGTAAATTTGACTCAGTTCTCCTGAGAAAATTATAAAATCCAGTATTGCCTGGTTATTTTGTGCACATCTAGAGAAGGAACCAGTGACCACCAAGGACAAGCACAGCCTCTTCCAAAGCACATCACGCCATTCTGACAGGCTTTCTATATCAGGGAGATGCCGTCTATGTCGACGACTGCCAAACATCTGACAAGTGTCTTATGCTGTCTTTGTGGACAAGGTGGAGACATGTAGGCCAGGTGACAGTATATTCAGGTAGATTCAGAACTTGACTGAATGACCAGACCCTGAGAGCAGGTAGTCATTAATGGCTCACAGGATCATATAAGAAGTGAAAGGGGGACCCAAGACCATCTAGTCTAACTCCCTTGTTTTACAAACAAGGAAAGTGAGGCTCAGATAGGCTAAATGATTGTCCAGGGTCACATAGCTAATAAGTATAAAAAGGTAGAACTTAGAGGAGGTCTCTAGTGAAGTCCCCCCAGATGTACTTAAATATTCTGTACTGTTCAATATTTCTTTTACCCAATCTGTGATTTATTTGGTATGAGAAACATCCAGTAAAGAAATTCCCTCTGCCAATTCAGATCAGCATCTCTCAGAGAACTGCTTGAAGCACTGAGAGGTTACACAAGTTACCTAGGATCACACAGCCAGTATGTGTCCAAGTCAGGACTTGGACCCTAGTCTCCCTGACTCTGAAACCCACCCTCTATCCACTACACCATACTTCCTCTCACACTGTTAAGCACTCTAGTCAGTGACTTAGATGAAGGCTTTTATGGCATAATCATCAAATTTTCCAGGGACACAAATCTGGGAGGATTAGCTAACACACTGGGTGATACAGCTAGGATCTAAAAAGGAGTTGAAAGGTTAGAATGATGAGTCAGATCTAATCAGATGAAATTCACCTCAGTGATCTTAACTCACTCATGTGGCTAATCCTTCTGAACATACAGATCACCCTCTTTTCTGTGCTTTCTTATCCTGTGTGACTGTTGTCCGTGGGCTCCTGTGAGCCCTCCCCTGGGAGAGAACGTGCACTCCCTCTGGTATCTCAACATTCCAAGGACATCAGGGTAGGCTGTGAGCTGGCCACTGGGGATCCTCAAACGTGCTGAACACCCCTCTCCTTTTTGAAGTCCTACATCTCTGTGCTCCGAGGCTGCTGCTTTCATGCAAGCCTTCATTTGTTATAGGCCTTTTCACCTATTATAGATATAGATATACATGTATTTTCACATATTAGACAGATCGACAAGACAGGTAGATAGACAAGACAGGCAGACAGACAGACAAAGCAGACAGACTGACAAATAGATGAATATTCAAACAAGATAGAGTGAGACAGACAGACAGACAGACAGATAGATAG